AGCGTTGCCGGACTGTGTCCGTAGCCCAGAAGGTCTGATTTATTCTGGGGACAAACTGTATGTGCCTATTTCAATGAGGAGGGAAGTGATGGATTCTGCTCATGGTTCCAGACTGGCAGGACATTGGAGTTTTGTTAAATCACTGCAACTCATCCGCAGACAGTTTTGGTGGCCACACATGCGCAAAGACCTATTGACTTTTGTTCGATCCTGTCAGACCTGTGCCTTAACTAAACCCAGGGGGGGCAAGCCTCCCGGTCTTCTGCAACCACTCCCTACTCCATCGAGGCCTTGGGAAGTGGTGTCCATGGACTTTATTACTGACCTCCCTGCGAGCAAAGGGAACACTGTTATTTGGGTGGTTGTTGATTTATTTTCTAAGCAGGCTCATTTTGTGCCTTTTCCTTCCTTGCCTACAGCTCAGAGGTTGGCGAAATCGTTTATGTCTCACGTGGTGAAAATTCATCAATTACCTGCTAAATTAATTTCTGACAGGGGGACCCAATTTGTTTCTAAGTTTTGGAGGGAACTTCTTTCCATTTTAGGGGTGGAACAAGGGCTCAGCAGCGCGTATCATCCTGAGACTGACGGACAAACAGAACGAGTTAATCAGACCCTGGAGCAATATCTTCGTTGTTTTACTAATTATCAACAAAATGATTGGTGTGAATTGTTGCCTCTTGCTGAATATTGTTATAACAATACTGTCCATAGCTCCACGGGCATGTCTCCTTATAAAGCTGTTTCTGGTTACGACAGCCCCCCCTCCCTTTCCTGGAGGGGATGGGCCAACGTCCTGTGGGGGATGCTGATACATGGTGTATGTCCTTGCAAAATGCATGGCCTCTGCTATGCCAAACGCTTGACGCAGCCAAGGCTGCTTACAAGACCCAGGCAGACAAGGGTAGGGTGGTGGGGTTTGATCTGAAACCTGGGGATCTTGTGTATGTCTCGACCAAGAACATTAAGATGCTGCGACCTAGCAGGAAATTGGGGTGGAAGTTCATTGGTCCATTCAAAGTGCGTAAAGTCATAAATAATGTGGCGGTTGATGTTGTTTTGCCTAAGAATTTACGTGCTCTGCATTCTGTTTTTCACATGAGCCTGTTGAAGAAGGATCCTGGCCCGTCTCCCTGGAGACCAGCAGTTACTCCTCCTCCACCTGTCATTTTGGAAGGGGATGAACATTTTGAGATCGCTGATATCCTTGATTGTAAATTGAAACGTGGTAAACTCTGGTACCTTATCGAATGGGTTGATTTCGGTCCCCAGCACCGCGAATGGGTGGAAGAAGGGGATATTCGGGCCCCTTACCTGATCCGTAGTTTCCACAAGAGGTTCCCGGACAAACCGGGAGGTCTCCCGCCCAGCCCGGGAGATCTCCCGCCCGGCCCGGGAGGTGTGTTTTAAGTGTATTTTAAGGGGGGCAGTATGTCAGCAAGCTGCCATTCTGTTTTCTGTGACCTCTGTGTACATATCCTTACCCTGTTGCACCCGGCTTGTTTATACTATCCTGCTTCTGTGCTGGAATGCCTAAGATAACTACTGGTGGATGTGTGGGGGAGAAGATGCTGTAATGCTTGCCTATTGCTATCTCATGAGAACTGCACCTGTGTTTTGTCTGATGTTCTGCCTGGTTCCCATGGACTGGGCGCGCAACCGTTTCATTAGCCCGCCAGCGGGAATATTATTCATTGGATATGTATCTGTTTGAATTTCCTTTATTATGCTCGCCCTAACTGTGTATCCCCAGTTCTAACAAAGAACGTGTTTGAGTATGTCTTCAACGCTTTGAAATAAATTTTGCTTTTCTTGAAAACGTGGATTTATTCTCGATGCTTGGGGATCCAACAGGGAGGGACCTCAGCATGGTGCAATGAATTAAACTTTGTTGTCCTAAAGGTGCCACTAGACTCAAACTTTGCTCTGCTGCTTCAGACCAACATGGTGACCCATTTGAATTCAACTAAGTACTAAGTCCCAGACAGCTTCTTGCAGCCAGGTTCCTGTGATCCATCTTGGCCCAATCCAGCCAGCCAGCCAGCCAGTGCCTTCCTCCCCAATGGGCAAAGTACAGGATGGGACACTATGCCTGAAACAGAAGGTACACCTCAACTGCCTGGGAGCTGAATGCAGCAAACAAACTATCTCTACATTGTATACTGCATCTCCTCATATTTTCAAGACAACCAAAAACCTGCATTCCAGAGACAGGTTACCTGTGTTCTGTTCTTACCTAGAACAGTATGGATTCCGCTTCTACGAATTACCTCGATTATTCCTGTAGGAAGAGGCTTCTTCACTTTGATTAGGGGAGATCCGGCCAGAATCAAACATTCTTTAACAAATGGATCAATAACCAGCTCCCTAAAAAGTGAAAGAGAATCAGGTGATTTAGTTGATGTCATAAACCATAAGCTTAGGTGAGAAGGCAGCTTAAAATATAAAGAAATACAATTCTGGCAGGAGAGAAATCTGTCCCCTGTTTCTCTAAGCAGAAGCATTCATTTTAAAGACTCCTGACTTTTCTTTGAAAACATAATCCATTATGCTCTCTTTTTAGAAAAGTGTATCTGGGCAGGACATAAAGCACACACAAAGACAAATATAACTGTAAAGTGGAAGCCAGTGTAGTTTCCTTATAGAAGGCATGTCTAATATTTAATTGCCATATTATAGAGGCTCCTGTGAAAAACCGGTTGCTTACTTGTAACTGATGATCCTCGAGTGGTCATCTGTGCATTCACACCCATGGGATCTAGTGCGCATGCGCTGGATCGATCGGCATTGTAGCAAGCTCTTTAACGGATTTTCGCGCCCAGTCCCCCGGGCATGCGCAGGAACCCCACCGCGCATGCCCAGAGGGGAGGGCGCGGACATCCCGCCAGTTCCTTCGAACCACCGCAAATCAACCTCTATTGAAAATGTAGAAGCTGACAGCAGCGGGGAAGGGGGGCGGGTGGTGTGAATGCACAGATGACCACTCGAAGATCATCAGTTACAGGTGTTTATCTTCCACGTGGTCTCTGTGCTTCACACCCATGGGAGATTAGCGAGCAGTGGCCTACCTGGAGGAGGGTGCTGGCAGGTCCTTACTGCGTAGCCGAGGATAGAATGTGACGTCCCATGTTGGTATTAGAGTTCTTACGCACGTCCAGGGCGTAATGCCTCATGAAGGTGTTAGGCGTGGCCCAGGTAGCAGCCTTGCAGATGTCCGTCAGGGGCACTCCTTGGAGGAAGCCAGTGGAAGCCGCAACAGCCCGGGTTGAATGGGTCTTGATGGGGCCAGGCAACGGCTGCTTTGCAATCAAGTAGCAGAGGTGGATGAGACCCGCAATCCACTTTGAGAGGCGTTGAGCCGTGATGCGAGTCCCCAGCCTTGCTGGTGCGTAAAGGACTAGAGGAAGATCCCAGGGAGCGACAGGAGTCTTGACAGGAGGGTAGAGGTGTAACAAATCTTTTAAAAAATGTTTCAAAAGCGGATGTGAAAACATGGTGCATCCGTCAACTTGAATATGGTAGGCCGAAATTGCGGCCAAATAAACTTTTAACTATAAATGGGAAAGTCCCGAGTCAACTAGGGACAGGAGGAATTGGAAAACTTTCTCGAGGCCTGCAGAGGAGGCTCGAGGGGCCTCATCACCTAGGGAAGAACAGAATCGTTGCCATTTATAATGGTAGGACCTTTGCGTAGCAGGTTTCCTGGCCTTCAATAGAACATTGGCTACGTGGGTCGAAAAACCTTTGACGGTATTCTCCACGCTGTCAATTTCAAGTGTGGTACATCATGATGTAGGAGAGGGGAGTCCGACAAGAAGAGGAGGTCCTGTACCGGAGGGAATTGATGGTACATTCCCCTTGACAACTCGAGGACTGTGGAGAACCATGGTTGTCTCAGCCACCATGGTGTTATCAACAAGCAGTCCGCTCCGTCTCGGATGATCTTGCGTACCTCTCTCAGAAGTAGGGGTAAAGGAGGGAAAAGGTACAGAAGGCCTGAGGACCAGGGAAGAAGGAGACCGTCTCCGAGCAATTGTGAGTTCCTGCTGCCTCGACTGCAGAACAGGGGACATATTTTGTTGGCTCTGGTGGTGAAAACATCGACTGGGGGAGATCCCCACCTGCGGAAGAGTGGAAAAAGATAGAACGGGTTCATCTCCCACTCGTGAAGACTGAGCCTTGCTCAACTTAAATGATCTGCCTGCACATTCAGGTGACCTGGGATGTGTGTGGCTACCAAAAAAATGTCGTGAGCGATGCAAAAGTCCCATAACTGAATGGCGAGGTTGCAGAGACGTGGGGAGACCGTGCCTATATTGTTTGTTTATATAACTGAGTGCAGTGGTATTGTCCGTGAGGACCGTAATACATTTCCCTTTGATTATTGGTAGGAAACTCGTGACCACGAACTGAATTGCGAGCAGTTCCAGGAAGTTTATGTGTCAACCTTGCTCGTGGGTGTTCCACTTCCTCCCGACGCACAGACCCATCATGTGTGCACCCCATCCCGACAGGGAAGCATCTGTGGTCAAGGTGATTTGGGGTGACGGAGGGTGGGAGGGTGCTCCCTGGAAGATATTGGAAGGGACCGTCCACCAAAGTAACGAGTCTCGTATGTTGGGGGGGGGGATAGGACGACAGTGTGAGCGTTGTTCGCTGGGTTGTAATTCTGGATGAACCACAGTTGTAAACGACGCATCTTCAGTTTAGCAAAGACGAGAACCGATGTAGTTGCAGCCTTTGGATTTGGAAGGCAGTGACAGAAAGGTGGGTACAGACGACGGTGGCTAAGGAAATGATGTCTGCTGCTCTGTCTTAAGGCAGGTAAGCCATGCATGTCGTGGAGTCTAGTGTAGCGCCGATGTACTTTATTCTTTGGACTGGACTCAATTGAGACTTTTCTCGATTGACTTGTAGGGCCAGATCTTTTAGTAGTGCCAGTGTCTCAGTGATGTTTGAGACCAGGGCGTTCTGGGAAGGCGCTACCAAAAGCCAATGGTCGATAGAGGGGTAAATGGAGATACCCCGGAGACGAAGGAAAGCCGCAACCACAATCATAGTCTTTTTGAAGACTCTTGGGGCGCTGGACAGGCCGAATGGCAGGGCTGCATACTGGTAATGCTGTTGACCAATCACGAAGCATAGGTAGTGGCGGTGGGAGGGGTGGATGGTGAGGTGGAAGTATGCGTCTTGGAGGTCGAGGGTGACCATCCTGACGTGTTTCCGTAGGAGTGGCATAATCTGCTGTAAGGACACCATGTGGAAGTGATGGTAGGTTACAAAACAGTTCAGTGCCCTTAGACCTAAAATGGGTCGAACGCCTCCATCTCTCTTCAGGACTGTGAAGTATTGGGTATAAAATCCCGTCCCGTGGAGTTGTGGTGGTACCTGTTCGATGGCTCCCTTCTGCAGAAGGACGGACACCTCTTCCAGGAGAGGTGGGGATGGGGGTGTGGAGACGACGACAGGAGTAATGGAGTTCTGGTGGAATTGGTGTCGTGCAATGCGTGTGGACTACCACACCTCAGTCACGTTTGCACTCTCAGCAGTCTTTCACTCACCAGAGGCTTCCAATAGTAAACCACACTTACTCAGTCCAGTGGTAACTATATACAGGAATTTATTTACAGTATTTACAGCTCTCCAACAAAGTGCTTCGCTAGACTCCATCCACCATCAAGGGGAAATATACAGTGGTACATTGCTACTTATATACACATGACCAG